AAAATAAAGGGTTTCGTATACCCTTTCTGTGTATCTTGTCTACTTCCCACATTTATTGAACATAGCTTTAGTAAGCTCCCTGTTCCGAGTCAGGTCTTTGCATGTTCCCAAAGCAAACAAGGAGAAACACTGAACCTGATAAGAGTATAAATAAATTATTGCATTACCATTATTTTGTTCGCTTTCTTGACACAATCCTAGTGGCCTCAGTGTCCTTCTTGACTCTCTACCATGAATACTCTCTTGCCTTCGTGACTAGTATCTTATGGTGTCGTTTCTCTCCCTGGTACTCTTCTAATAACCTTGCTTCCTTTCCTGCTGTGTCCTTCATGGCTTCTTCTTAATTCTGACTTCCCTTTTTGCTTTTCTTTTCTCCCTTTTCATGGTCAAGATGCTTTTTTTTCGATTTACTATTGATGTCCTGTTTTCCTTTTATGACTCTCTTCTGGTAACAACGTTCTTATTTATTATTCACTCCTGATGACTTCTCTTCCTTTGACTTGCTGATGGTAGTTCCTCTTTTTCTAGAATCAAACACCTGGCGACCTTCATCTGCTGCTTGAATTGCTGTCCTTCTTACCTTGCTCTGAGTACCTTGCTTCTCTGATTCTCTTCCAGCGTCCTAGATCTCCTCCGTTATATCCTGATTGACTGGCTGCTTTTTCTGATTCGGTATCTACCCTTCCATATGCCTTGCTGATAGCCACTATCTCGTTGAGTCTCTGCTTATAGCTTCACATTTCTTCACACTTCGTTGATGCTCTATGTCTAACGACATAGTATTCCTTTCTGATTCACTTCCAGATGGCCTCATTCTGCTTTCGGAGTCTTTACTGATGTCCTCTGCCACTTCTTACTCACTTAAAATAGCTTTTCTTTCCTTTCTGTCAAGTAACTGATCTTGGACTGCTTAATGACTAAACTCTTGCCGGTCTTCCTAATCTCTATGACTTTCCTCTGGTAACCTAACTCGTCTACTTGCCTAGATCTTCTGTTACTTCACACTAAATCCTTATTCGTTACTGTTGGCCTAACTCTCTTTCCTCACTTGCCTCGAGTATCATTGCTCCCCTTCCTAAATCCCATTTTTGACTCCACAACTCATCTGATGCTCCGTTGCACTTCCTTGCTGTCTTTTAGTAACATCGATCCTCATTCTTGGCTTATTATTCCTGGAATTGCTCCCCTCCTTACTCACTCCATACGACTCATTACCCTTCCTGATTCTCTCATAACCGCCTTGATCCCATTGTGCATTCATTTCTCGCGACTTTGCCTTTACTCCTGATTCCCATTTGGTCGTTTCATTCTCTTTCTCGTTCCATCCGTGGTGTCTTTTTCTAATTAGTTTTCTGTTTTGAATAATTCTTTTTATGGCTTGCTTCTGAAGGTCTTTTCCGTTTCCTGACTCACATCTGATGGTTTTCATCCATTCTTGACTCGCTGCTAGTATCCCTCGCTCTCTTTTACAGTAGATCTTTGAGGCCTTCTCCGCTTTCTCAATCATTTTAAGCCATGACTCTTTTCAGACAGTAAAGTTCCCGTTCTTGACTCGCTGTTAACGGTCTCATTTTTTAACTCATTTCCATTTACTTATTTCCCTTCATAGTCACACCTAGTGACTTTGATCCTGTTTCTGATAGCTATTCTGGTCTGGTTCTCTATCTTAATCGTAACTTAATTTCTCTGATGGATTCATCCGATTAAAAATGTAGATTCATTAGAATTTTTTGGAGAACGAGACGTGAAAAATATGCAGTACCCTTGCCAGGACTTGAACCCTGGACCTCTCTAACATGCGTCAAGTATGTTTCCAATTACACCACCAAGGCATGCTGAAAAGAGGGAGAAAATATCTTATATAGTCACACTTTTAAAGGGCGACTGAGGATTAGGGAACCCAGTCGACATATCCTGCTTGTGACGAATTATCATCCTCCACCTTTTAGTTCGGGAGCCACTTGTAGAGTCCTCGGAGTTTTTTTTTTTTTTTTTTTTTTTTTTTTTTTTTTTTTTTTTTTATGCTAGAGATGTCAAAAATGTTCAGTGCCCTCGCCGGGACTCGAACCCTGGTCCTCTCGAATACGCATCGAGAATGCTTCCAATTACCACACAAAAGCATGTTCAAAGGAGGGAGAATATATCCTTATAAAGGTATAACGTATTCAGCCAAGTTAAAATCCTTAGTCAATTTGTAGGCTTTTTATGACTTAGATTATAATTTCAATGTTCCAAAATCGAAAGCATAGACAGTTAGAATTTTCCTTCGCCAGCATCAAGCGGCCCACTCAAAGAAATTTTGGAGATAGGAGCAGTAAGGGCCTACAGTGAAAATGAGGATATGCTATTTCTTTAAAGAAATCATAATACTGACGCTGTATATGTTAGTATTCTATCTCATCATCAATCTTTTATAAGTTTCCAATATATTAAAACTTTATACCTTCACTATATACTTTCGCGCATATTTGTTTCATAAATCTGAAAAATTTAAAAATAAAAAGATTTAATTTATAATGAAAGAAGTTAACATAAACTTTAAAAAGAACTTTTAAAGTTCAATATACGTATTAGAGAATGTATACTTCCATTTATTAATCGAATCTCATTATTTTAACTTAAGTAAATTGTTATTATATACAATTTATTATTATATTTACTTTTACAGTCTTAAATGCTATTTCGTTAAATGCATAAAATTTCTAATACTTTTTATTTATCCTTCTGTATTATTAATTTTAATTCATGCTATTACTATTTTAAGTAATCTTGAATATAGTAATACAAGGAAATTCAAAAACTGAAATTGTTGAAATTATCTGTATTTTCTATGAATAAAATAAAACTGGTTTAGATTTTTAAAAATCCAAATTTTTCTATGAATAAAATGAAATTGGGTTAGGTTTTTAAAATCCAAATTAAGTTACATTTATGGCGGTTATTAAATAAATATAATTATCTTCTCAAATGAAAAGTTATGAATGTTAATGAGACTGAATCAGTGTCTATATGAAGACAATATTCGTATGTGCTTTGTCACGCATGCGACGACGAATATTCGGGCCGTTAAGAGGGGTGGGATGACACGTTTTGGTACTAAGAAATAGTAAGTTTCTCAGTGATGTCTTTGGCATTATAAAAGAGATAAATTGCCCAGTAATGCCTTTAACAAAAGTCATAACTTCAAGAAGTGTTTGAACTGATGATGATAATCTTAGTGATTTTTAACATAACTGCCACTAAAGCCACTCGATGTCAAGGGGATCAAAGATCAATGATTCCGAAATTCCTCTGATATTGTCTTCAAACTTAGTGAATCCAAGGACTTAAAATGCAATAGAAAAACTAAAAGTCTGTGACTAATTCAGTTTGAAAATTGTGCTAGAGACGGCAAGTACACAGAATATTTTTTAAATCTCAACTATGGAGAAAATTCTCGAACAGCTGTACTTTTAAATGATGAAGTAATGAACTATAATATTTACCTTTGAAAAAGCTCTACAGTCCTACTTCTATACATGTATTGCCTCACTGTTAAATTATGTTTCTGATATTTTTCGTAATGTTCATGAAGTTCATTGTTGCAGATTTTTATGATCTAGATCACGCAAGCAATCTAAGCCCTAGTTTATTGCTATAGATTTATCGCTTATTGCTGTAACGTTATAAATTTGTCTGCAATTTAAGGAGCATTTTACAATAAAAATTTTAAAGAATTTTCTCAGATATGTTTTTTTCTAGCATAATTCATGCATATACGATATAAGACAGAAAAGTAGTAAGACATACCATACAAAAGTCTGTGAGAGAGATTCATAAATCCACGTTATCAAAATAGTTCGACTGAGAGATTGAAAAGGTATCAGATATAAAGTTACTGTACTTTATAGCTGTCTGGAAGTCATCTGGTGTGATAGCCTTCAGCTAGTTCGTCACGGCTGCTTCAATGTTGTTCCCTTTTCACCACAGCCGTAGTCATTCCTTAAAATATCTTTTTTGAAGGTTCAATTAATTACAATTAATTTTGCCTGCCTTTTCACTTTTGCCCTGAAATAAGAATTTAATTTTCGGCGCAATCGATGTGGCCCTGTATACTATTATATAATGACGCTTCATGTGGAATTTTAGTATGAGGCTAAAATGCTAGTTAGGTAGACTAATATCAGATGAGTAGAGAGGTTGTAATGTAAAAACCATTAGACTTCAGAAAACTGGAAAACTGGAAAAAACTGGAAAAATCAACACCCCATTTCCCGGGATTGAGCCACTGATCTTTCAATTGTTAGCTGGGCGTGCTAACCACTTCTATAATTCGATAATTTCTTAAAACAGAACCAATGAAATGGCCTTTATAGTTTGCTATTAAATTATAACTTGTTCATTTTGCTGTTAGATTATGGCGTGTTATTTTAAACACCTTTCTCTAATTTTGTGGTCGAAAGTCTTCTGAAATGTAATTCATCGCTCACTCTTTCACGGGCATTTAAAATCTTTACACACTCGCCATTTTCAGGTACATTTGCATTGGATCTTCACTATGTTTCACGCAAACTATTATCACATAAATTTGTTCAAGAATTTTGTCCGCAATTTCTGTAACATTATAAGGTATTATCTCTTTCTTCGGTGTGTGTTCTCGGGATGTAAATAGTTAACGCATCCATCTAGATGTTAGGAGATTCTTAGTTTCGAAGAAATAGTTGACTTCCTTTTCCGAAAAATGTAATGGTTTCTGTAACATATGCTAATACACTTGTCGATAAACACCTAGTAACCTTGGAAGTTCTTAGTTTGAGTAGTGAAAAAGTAAGATTATATATATATAGTCATCATTAACAGAAAACCGTCATCATTCTCAACGTAGAATTTTATAAGCAGTCTCATTACTTTTCTGTTATGATTGAAAGATATTTCAACACATTTTCATAATAATTCTTATTTCATTTATAATTTCATAAGTAGAAAGCAATTATTTTCAAACAATTTTTTTTCTGCCTTAGCCCAGCCCTTACGATCTGAAGGAGTCTCGCACGACCTGGACCGCTCTTCAACAAACACCAACACCCGGCTGCTATCCTTACGATCCCAGTGGACTCGCCTCTTGTGGACCCTACGCAGACAGGTTTGAAATCGCATTTCATCTTTTCATACACTTTAGATCCCTTTCCGAACAGTTTTGCAGGTGTATAGAATAAACAAGCGAAGCATCAGTTTTGCTTTTCTATTTAGAATTTCTTTTCAGAGCTATAATTTTACATCCATTTCAGTTCTCAGAATTTAGTTTTCTTCTGCTCGACATTTTGTAATTTTTGCACATGTATTACATGTAGAGACCTTTATTTTAATTCCAAACAAAAAATTTGTGAAAATTTTTCATTTCCTGCTTTTTTCAGATAAAAAAGAGTGGTTAATACTTAAAAACACTGCATTTTGTTTCTGGCGACCAAGGTATATGACCACTTATAAGTACTCCAATCCATCTGTGACTTTTCATGGGATGGAAATTGCATGTAGACGAAACAATTTCGGCATGAGATCCAACAACAATAGCCTCTAAATCTGTTGCTGTTGCTGTTGTCCAGAAGTAAATATAATTATCTGGATTTTCCAATCTTGGCACCATACTGCTTTCGTTACCTTATCCTACTACAAACATTAAGCTTTCTGCTCTACCTGAAAAGTTGCCAGTTTTTACAACCGTTGTCAATCTTGCAGCAGAAAATCGAAGTTATCTCATAATTTCTATGATGTGAAATAACTTAATCTTACTATCGGACGGTTATCAACAGAAGTTAATTGTTAGCGAGTTCTCGCCTATGATATTCTTTAAATATTAATACAACGGTCAATTCAGCTGGGAAGTTAAATCACATTTTTATACAATCCCAAAGAGTTTTGCGAAACTTAAAATCAGTTTTCTTGTTCAAAATTCGCAATATAAGTGACTAACTTTAATGTTAAGATGATTTATAATAATTCCCTAAATCTGAAGCCTACAACACTATCAGATCTGATATAAATAAATAGCTTACGAATCATACATCTTCAGCTTGGTAAGTTTTAGTCTGCGACCAGACCTAATAGTTACACGTCGAAAGCAAATCTGATTGATTGATCTATGCATAAGGTCTCATAGAAGTATGTTCTCTCTTTTGTTTCCTTCTCGGGCCCACCAACGGCCGATCGGTAAAGACGCTGAACACTGGTAGTTCGGTCCGGGGCTCGAATCCCGCGAACGGGCTGGCTGCATGGGCGTTTTTCGTGGTTTTCCCCATGTGTAACGTGCATACGATTCAGTTTCCCTTAGAAAGTCCTCCACGAAGGCATCCCTCCCTTTAGGCAGATAGCCCTCGTGTGCTTTGCCATAATTAAATAATCAAATCTTGTTTCCTTCTCGAAACAGAGCTGCAGACGAAACATTCTCCTCAGCCTCATAAAATCGCCCCGGACATAAGCACAACAGATCGCTGAGCGAAACTGTTTCGGCTAGAAACATCCTATTGAAAATAATGCTGGGTAAATGCATTTTCTCGGAAAGGTTATAACGTCATACGTAGCACAATAGTCATACGTAGCACAGTAATCAAATTAGAAATTGTAAGCATTATAACTCTTTTCATTCGTTCGTTTGTTAATGGAAAAAAAAAATCAGCTGCACAACTTACCCAAGTTAGAATTTTCAAGAATTAGATTTAATGAAAAAAAATTCGTTGTGTTATGTAAAAGTTGGATTAGCCAAAACGTAATGCCGAATGAAAAACATTTCACTTTTATATAAATGGTTTTAAAGTAGCATTTCAATACTATCAATTAATCAACAGTGTGTGGTATCTCAGGATATATTCAATTAATGTGGATATTTAATCTTTATTAGTCCCAGTAGCGCTACAAAAGGACTTTCATTGGCTAGAAAAATAAAATCTCTATAATGGAACTTTTAAAACCACTTTTGAACCATTGGTTTGTTAACTGCACTACCGCCATGAACATCACATATAACTTTTGATAAACTACTAAATACTTGGGGTTCAACCAATCTGTGCTGCAGCCAAATCGATCAACTTTTAAAGTCTTTAACTTAGAAGTCCAGTACTCAATTGAGTACAACAAATATGAAAACAAATTAAGAAAAGTTTATTTAATCTACTAGTTAGTAGTTTACAAAATCAAAGTTAACAAAACGCGTAGACACATTAGGTATTTTTGGAAGCAGGCAAGATGAAAAATGAGCAACGCCTTCGCCGGTTATCGAACCGCGGACCTCTGAAATACGCGCCCAGCGTGCAGACCACTACACCACGAAGGCACGCTAAGAACGCGGGAGAAATACCTTATAAACTTAACAACCGCTTCTTGCGGGTCGAGAATACAACAATGCTTTAAATATTTATGAATCAAATATTTGAAGCCTCAAAATAAGCGTGATTTCCGTCATTTTGCCATCAAAAGTCAGAATTCATCAAAAAACTATACAGCTATTCTACTAGGCGCAATTTAAGAGTTACATTGCTATTGGCTGGTATTACGAATACTTTTCCTTTAAATTCCTCTTTCTTCAACATTCTCTCTTTAACTCAATTAACTTTCATTTCTGGGGAAGTTGATGGAAAAAGTAGAAATGTAAGAAAGGATTAACATAAAAAATAACGAGTAATTTTTTTAAAAAATCACAATTCCTAAAGTAATTTTTCTTTCGGGAAAAATTAAACAGTGTAATTTCTGGGAAGTTCCCTTTATTACTAATCGTGTTTTCAAAGCAGGTTCAGTTTTAAAATATTTCAAATAAAGCTAGATGCTGAAATACCAGTTATCAGAATATTTACATTTCTATACATTTAAAACCATGTACTGCACTAAAAATCCTATTAGCTTATAAGGTATTTCTCCCACTTCCCTAGCGTGCCTTCGTAGTGTAGTGGTTCTCACAATGAGCCGGTATTTCAGAGGTTCGTGGTTCGATTTCCGGCGAAGACGGTTGCTATTTTTCATCTTCCTTGCTTCCAAAAATATACCTAATGACTCTACAAGTGGCGCCCGAACTAAAAGGGTTGTGGATGATGATTCTCCGCACCCAGGATTTGGCGACTAGGTCCCCTAAAACCCTAGTCGCCCTTTAAAAAGGGGAGTATATAAGGTATTTCTCCCACTTCCCTAGCGTGCCTTCGTGGTGTAGTGGTTCTGCACACTGAGCCGGTATTTCAGAGGTCCGTGGTTCGATTCCCGACGAAGGCGGTTGCATATTTTTCATCTTTTCTGCTTCCAATTAACCTAATGACTCTACAAGCTTATAGAGTCCTTTACCGTTTCAAAACCGTAACCAAACTTTAGATCGATTGGAAGCGAATTATCGCTAAATATCAACTGAAACTTGGGAAGGGCGTAAAAGACCCTTTCTTTAAATCTAAAGATGAACATAATGCACTTTTAGTGCTTTCTACCAGTATTTATGGCGAGAAACTTCCAAAGCAGTAGGTCAAATGTAAAGCTTAAATTTAAATAAACTAATAGCCAAAGACTACGCAAAGCAATTAAACCTCAAATTGGCTCAGAACTTCACTGGCGTGGATTTCAAATATCGGTAATTGTAATGCAAGGCCGAAAACAACCCCTCTTATCTAAAACGGAAACCTAGTAACGTGGCTACGAGGGACAGAACACGCTCAATCTTACAATCTCAAAAATTTTAACTTTAAACACTCGCGAACTAAATTTGCATTCTGGCGGGAAAACGGAAAGGGAGATGTGAAAATACAGATCCAAAACTTAAAATCTGATGTGTACACCACATGACTTCCTTGTACGAAATATTAAATTATACGCATATTTTCCTGCATTTCATTTAAACTTATTGGATTGAATGAAATCTACTTCGCCGAGCGCATAAACCACAATAGAATAAATGCATTCTTTAAAATTAAAATTATAAACCACACTAGAATAAATGCATTCTATTTGTTTACCATAGCGACACTCTGGCGCTAGGTCCACATAATAGTATTATATTTCGTTCATTATTATAACTCAGAATGCACAAAATTTATATCATTTAAAGAATTATCTAATCGTTGACGCATGTTCTATTCAAATGCTATAATAAAGCTAGAACAATGTATAAAAGAAATCAAGCAAACAAAACAAAAAAGAAACAGTTTTTCACAGATTATTGAGTATTTCTCATTCAATTAATTCAGTTCTCACTTCGCGACAAGGCAAAAATACATAAAAACTCAAAACATATGTATTAAAAATTACGAAGTAATTCTTAAACACTTATTTCCTCGAAAAAATTCCAGAAAGGATTAAGCATGATTTACACTCATGTCCATAAACACAAATATATATGACATGTTTATGGGCGTTGTCATCCATAAACACAAATTGTGCGCCCATGGCGCCCCGAAACAAACGTACATGTTGTTCCAGAATGACGTCCCGATAGATTTGGCTTGTCATGGTTCCAATTTAAACATGCAGGTCAGTTCTGGAACCCAGAATAATTCCACCCCAAACGAGCACTCCTGCACCACCGTAACCGTGTCGTTCAATGATGTTTTCTTGGTGGTAACGGGTACCTGGAGCTCTCCATATGAAAGTACGGCGAGAATCAGACTGCAAGTTAAACCTGGACTCGTCGGAAAACATCACACAATCCCACTGTTGCGGTGTCCACAATGCATGCTCTCTACTCCAGGCTAACCGCAGGCGACAATGAGTTGCAGAAAGTGGAACGCATCTGACAGTCTACGAGCATATAGACCAATCTGCCCTAAGCGTCTGTACACGGTCTGCATCGAAATTGTCGTACCAGTGGCTGAAGAGAGCTGACGAGACAGGTCTGAGGCTGTGCTTCGCCTGTTTCTTTTGGCAGTAACTGCCAAATACCGGTCCTCATTCGGCGTTGTAACTCTGGGGCGACCTGTGCTGTAACGTCTACTCACATTACCATCATCTCGGAATCGTTGGCAAAGCCTGGAGATGACACTCTGGGCAATTCCAAGTTCGTCTGATACTTCCAGTTGAGTACGCCCACATTCCAGACGGCCGATAATTCTACCACGTAAAAAATCATCCAAATGCGTCCTTTGTGTCATAACTATTCCGTTATTGCACTGAAATGCTTAT